TTCTGCTTAATACGGTTGATGGGTGTAGTTTGGTAGAAAGAAAATAGTTCCCAGATGAAACTACTCACAGCAAAGTGTATGGATTATTTAGAGTAACTGTTTTAACTGAATATTTAGAGTAACTGTTTTCTGGCAAAATGTATTATTCCTCTTGCTTACTTGGAACAAATCACCCAGTGGTTGAACTGACTTTTTCTCTAGAGGCTATTGTTGCTGAAAATAGCTGCTGTGTGTCTATTGTGTGGTGGAGCTGCTTTGTGCTCAGTATTGTTTGCTAATGCGAGGAGAGAATGTTCACCTGCTCACCTGACTAACACACACACATACACACCAATAACGACATTCTTAGAAAGAATGACCAGATGTGAGCACATGTATGGCCATGCATGTAGGCGTGGACAATGCGCTCAGATATGATATTTTAAAAAAGAATGTACTGAGCTGCTGCAGATGCTGAGAGCCCAGCCACATTGCATTACATTAAGAAGGTTGGACTACACATTCGAATCCTAGAGAGTCTGTCAGACAATTCTAAAATCACAAACCTGTCCCTCCCAATATTCCAGCCTGGGACTGCGCTACAGGCATAATATGCTTGTGACATTACTCTCAAGTAGCCGAGTTTAGCCAGGTGGTGCGATTAGCAGCTGAGTCATTTTACCGTGGGGCCATCACACAGTGGAAAAAGCAAAATAACTGTTAGGTCCTTGTTTTAATCTTTCAACAAGATCACATGTGCACCACCTTAGGGTGCATTGTCTTGAGGTAGAAAAAGAACTCAAATAGGGACAGTATATGCACACACTGTCTTTTCTTCCCTCTATATTGTGGTGTCCAACAGATACAATAAAGCACTGCTGGTGCTGACTGACTGTAACAACTAAGCCTGGGCAGGAAAAGTAAAACCACACACACTCTTGTGATGAACCCATCCATAGTGATACTGTTGTCTTGTGTTACAGAGGATAAGTGGATGAGGTTGATGTATGTGGTGCGCTTGGTCAAAATGAGTTGGATGTCGCAATGGCTCATTTATTTATCAAATGGATTTATGTCAACATATTGATTTTTTGTCATTTTGGGGTTTTGTCTGATGTCACTAAACACAGTCTTGACTTTCAGAATATGAAACTTTTATCACTAAATTTGAACAATAAATACAAATTTAAAGCTTGTAAAAGCATGATGACTGGCTAGCAGCGAACATTGGTCAACTGCAATCTGGTCCCTCTCAGTGCCACTCTCCCTCCCTTGATGTCTCTCTGAGAGTATAAATGAAAGGCTAAATGTTAACAAGGCAGGGTCTGAGACAGTGGGTTTCGGTATGATTTCAAATAAATAAATCTTGGCTTTCAGAATATTAAAAAGACTCTTAAAATCCAAATATATCATTAGATGTTTCAACTTTTGTCAATATGGACATGCCACACATCATTAGTTTGGTTAGATTCTCCATAGTTCAGACATTCAGTTCAATTTATGGAAACCATGTGCACTTAAGTATAATTCTTTCAGATTTACTGACATGGTAAACAAGACAGACCAAGAAAAAAAGGGTTGATTCCCTCCCTTTGAAGTGGTCATACAGTCTGAATATGTCCATTCCTCAATTATTTATCTTCCTTTAGTCTGTTAGGGTCTACTGACCAAAAGAATTAAAACAATCAAAGCCAAGTTATGAATATTATTGTGGAATTCCATAGCTAACTGTATCTAATTTTGTTTGTCAAACAGACCACAGTTCTTCCAACATAAACAATATTTTCTTGTCCTTCTACACCATGTTTTTGGGTGTGCTTGTTTTTGTTACCTCTCTGGCTACAAAATAGAGTTTTTCTGTGTATTTTTCACCATGGGACAGCCCCTGGAGTACAGCATGCACCTCCCAATTAAGAAAACAAATGGGCCCTGTTATGTATCCTTGTGGCCACCATACTACCAACTCTTGGGGCCCTTTTTCTCAAAATAGTGGCTAGAGCAAGTCACGTATCAAAGAGCAGTGGCGCGGGAAAGCTCCATAAGGCTGCATGTGTACATTCATCAGTGTCAGGTTAGAGGGTGATACCTGCATTAAAAATGTTCCAGTGAATTTGATAACTTGCCTCAGGTGATGTCACCTGAGTCAGTGTTGGTTGGTGTTGAAGATGTTGAAAATGAAAAAAATCTGGGCTTGTGGAGTTACAAAGAAGTGAGCCTACCAGACCTCTGTGGCACACTCCTTATCTCTGTTTGAAGGTAAAAGTTTAAAGCTACGTACATTAGCTCCACTGGCACAACACACCTAAATCTCCGACCAAACTGTTGGTAGTGGGGTTGGGCTGTGGGTAATGGAGGTGCCTTGTTTTTTCCAAGAAATATGTGTAATATCTTTGGCTCTGCTAGGATTTAATACTTTACAAAAACTGTCCATCATGAGCATAAAACTATAGGAGTGCAATGCTAAATCAGTGGAGTATTCTTTAAGGGTTAATGTGCCCTCTCTTCAGTGGCAGGCCAGAGTGTGACTTTTTTATTGAAACACATTGCACGTGGACTTTTAAAATTCAAGGCCAGAATCATGAGACAGAAAAGATCTCAATATGTTTTTGTACAGAGGGCTTTATCACTAGGAAACAGAAATATGTTGACCTGTGCAGAATGTTTTTTTTAGTGCTGATCAACTGAGTGTCTGCAAAGCAAGCTACATTCTGATTATCAGCCTTTAGAATTGTATCCAGGTGAAAATCAGATCTTTTACAAATAATCAAAACTTCTAAACAACATCTTTCTTGTCCTGTTTACAGGCAGAATGAAGTGCTGTGGAGAGAGGTGGTCTCACTGAGACAGAATCACACACAGCAACAGAAAGTCATGAACAAGGTCAGTCTACATGTGTTTGTCTGCCATGATCAATGAGTCATATCTGTGTCAAAACAAGTGAGAAACTCTGGAAGAACACTTACAGTTGTTTGTGTAGTTTAAGGTGTATGTATGTGCATGTTTTCTTCAGTGTGCCCAGAGCACTTATGTGTATATCTACTTCTACTTGGTATCATTAAAGGAATAATCTAGAGGTACATTTCAGTAGTATTACCACTTCTTCTTTTACCACTACTACAACTAATGCAACCATCCAGAGGTCTGCAATTGTTTTAAATATTGTTCTTTTTACCAGACTACATATATACACATTTGCCAGCTATTATCACTAGTTACGGTACTTTGATTTTACCAACAAAGCAAAGATCAGATAAAGCCATAAATATCAGATACTATTATAGAGTCGAGTCCCTGCAAACCCACACAGCTATTTTGATTTATATGGCAGATTAGACTTACCCAGGTTGTGCCGAATGTCCTATGCTAGAATTTACATGAGGTCAGTGTGTATTAACAGGAAGGATAACGCTGCACATCGTCCTGCAACAAAAATTTGACAGTTTCCGTCATCACTTCAGGTGAAATTAGGGTTTTTTTTAATTTATTTATTTATTTTAATGCATGGTCAATTTTGAGATTTTGGACTATTTCTTTTCCACAACATATTGTCTTTTAGACCAGTGGAAAGAAAACATCCAAAATTCACATTTAAGTGTTTATTTTAGCTCAGATTTCTGTTTTGGAAAATTATGCAAAGAGCATTCATTAAATTAGATAATGCTTCATCTGCACTTTAAAACATATAATTTCAGAAAATTTGTAATGCAAAAAAAGAAATTGTCTTGATGTAAGTTATCAACTGGGGAAGTTTCATGGTAATAATTATTAGGTTTTTTTTGTTGTTTTATTTTGTTTTGTTTTACCCTACTCACTTGTAGTGTCTTGTTTATTTTATTTTATTTGTCTAAGAATTTATGGAATTTTAAATACATATTTGTAAAGGCTAATTTATCAATATGAGTTTTTTTGTCATACACTTTAATTTTAATTCCTGTCCATATTCTGGTTTTTAAAGGTTTTTAAAGAAGGTGTTTTCATATATCATTAGCCTGATTCATATAACATATTATTACTAAAAACATGGTGAAAAAATTATAATTAGAATTATAATTAGAATATTTTTTTTAAACATGTGACTTCAATACGTCAATAAAATAAAATTCAATTAAATTGAATAGATTACACAATAATTTTGAACCTGGCTCCGTTCAATGTTCAGATTTCTGTCCTGGAAATGTAAACAAATTAGTGCTGATTTAATTAGCTAATGCATCATTTGTATATTGAAAATTCTCAGAAAGCTTGTAATACAAATAATAACTGTCCTTATGTAAGTGATCAGCTGGGGGCGTTTCATGGTGATATCTTTTAGTTAACAGTTATTCACTTGTAGTGTCTGCCCTAAAAGTCATTTCTATTCCTCATTGTCCTAGACGTGTCATACAACATATGACATCTACAGTTAGAACCCAAGGTGGTTCGGTGTATGGCAAACCCTCATTTCATATCACAAGATCACTTGGAAAAGACAGGGTGGATTATGGGTCATGCAACTTGTAGTCCTTTTCCTGCTTTAATGTTTCAAGAAGAAAAATAATTGTGTGTGCTTGTGCGTGTGTGTGTGTGTGTATGTGTGTGTGTGTGTGTGTGTGTGTGTGTGAGGAGGATGCTGATTCATGCTGTGCTTTTTTTTTCTCATTGCCAGCTGATTCAGTTTCTGTTCAGCCAGATGCAGTCCAACACACCCAGCACTGTGGGCCTAAAGAGAAAGCTGTGAGTACATGCATGCGCACGCACGCACACACGCACGCACGCACGCACGCATGCAAACACACACACACACACACACACACACACACACAGTGGAGCAATCAACAAAAGTGAGACAAACAGGGCCACACTGGGGCAGAGGGAAGGGCTGGCTCAGCTGACAAACTGAACAATCTAATGCAACAAGGGCTGTGAATGGAGACAAGTGCTGAATCAGTCAGTCAGACACACACACTCACACAAACACACACATTCACACACAGCGAAGGCAGAGCAGAGTGCATGACCCTGCTACAGCCTGTGTGTGTAAAATGCTGGCTCAGCTTTGCCTCTGAGTGTGAACAAGGCCTACATGAGAAAGGAAAGGCATGCTGGAACACATAAGTGCTATAGAAATGTATATTTCAGGGTCAGTGTGCGACCTGGCAAAGGTGCATTTTTGCCCTATGTTTTAATGAGAGCCATGTGTAGCCCTCTGGTTTTCGTACTCTCTCTGAATGTCCACCATCTGTGTTTAGCATCTACCCACGCTCATGACTCATTCATCCCTTCCCTCTCCCCCCTCATTTCCTGTCACATCTCTGCATGAACTCTCTATAAAGGCAAAAACACACCAAAAAACAAAGATTTTAGAGTCTACAGCAACACTGGTGAGGCTGCTGTTGCTAACATCAGCAGCAAATGTGTTCACAATGGCGATGTTAACACGCTGATATTCAGCAGGTATAATGTTTACCATGTTCACCATCTTAGCTCAGCAGGTTAGCATGCTAACATTTGCTGTGTCATTAGTTTTGCAGGTATTTTACCATAACTAGAGCCATGCTGCTAGTGTGGCCAAAAAATGGTGTTCAAACTCATTGTCACTTATCCATCATATTATCCAGAGGAATTTACATTATTAGCTTTACATCATACTGTGTACAGTAATTGATGAGCTTTTGTAATGTCTTTGAATTTATTTGATACTGACGTTCAGTATAAGTAGTGATACAGATTCAGTGGGATTTAGGGAAATGCCCAGAGAATGTCACATCTTTTAACCCTCATGGGGAAAACAAATTTGCTTCCATGTTGAAGAGTTGCTGTGTGACTCTCAACTCTCAGCGTGATTAAAGGGAACAACATTTTTTGAAATTAAGCCAGACCAGGCTGCAGTGTAGGCCTAAACTCAGGGCATGCTCCCAAAGTCAGTTTACGTCCACTAAAGGTGCTTGTATTTGCCGCTGACAGGCTCAGATTATGTCTGACAACATTATTGAAAAGATCCCTACAGATATAGACCTTTTAATTACAGAGTAAAAACCTTTTTGTTTAAGCAGAAACAGCCCTAAAGATGCTATTATCAAACCCACCAGTCTTCATTTTAATAAACATTAATTTTATCATCGTAAAACACTCTTCGTCCAAAGTCGACAGAAACAAAATAAAACTCACAGAAACTATCTTGGTTTGTCTTTTCACTGTTTTAACAATCACTTACTCTGGTTTGGTTGAAAAAAACCTTAATTTCCTTAGACATGAAAATATGCTGGCTCTACGCTAAAATTAATGTTTATTTAGATAGAGTCTGAAGGGTCTGGCGATGGAGATTTCGGGGCTGTTTCGCTGTGAGCCTCCAAGGACCTGGCACCAGTTGCACAAAACACCTTAAGCTTTCTTAAGTATGAAACTTGAGGCTTCATTTCTCCTTGACTGAGGGACTTACACAGTTACACAGAATCCCTTAAAAGATTTCCTTTGTTAAGAAAAAATGTTAATGCATTTATTGCGTTGAAAGAGATTGTTTGTTTGCTTGGACTCATGCTTGTGATGCCTCTTATCTTCTCACAAAATGGCAAAATAAAAGTGACAAGTGAATCATATTGGTCAGAGGAGGAAATGATTTTACTACTGGAGGAATACAATCATAGAAAGCACATACTACAAAATAAATTTTATCCCGAAATACCAGAAAACCGAAAACCATTGTAGGAAGAAAAGTAATTCAGTCTAATCTGAAGCGTGAAATTAAAAAGCGTATCCACTGGGTTCTCCCGGTTGCAGAACACTTCTCTTGGGGTGTGTTAGTTTTTTTCATTTATCACCATAAACTCAGTCAAGTTGCAGTAAAGATAGAGTCAGAGGTACTTTAAGTTGTTTTTTTTATCTTGGTTGCTAAGGTCTTTTGTGCAATGATTTCAGGATTCCTTACATTTAAGACCAAGACAAGGAGAAGACCATAGACACTTAAGTTAACTTTTTGAGGAAGCCTCAAGGAGAAGACCTAAGGGTGTTTTGTGCAAGCAATGTGCAAGTTCTTGAGGATCCTTAATGTTATAGCACATTGTCAAAACTCAATTGGTGTTGAGTAACATTAGTGCGGCTGTGCTGTCTTGAAATGTGCATGGAATTCACTAAAACATGCTAGTCTATTACATCATAGCATTAATGGCTGACATTATTGTAAGTTTAGTTGGTCATTTGTATAGTAAATGTAATAGTGTCTCATATAACTATATGAATTCCAAAACCATGCTTTCCAAGGATTTACAGACTGGGGGAAGGACTGTTATCCCCCTCACTGACTCCACCCTCATGACGCCCCTAACTACTACTAGACACTGACTGTATCTATACAGCAGAGATATACAGCAGTGTACTGAAGTAGTGACGTACGCTAGACAAAATCCAACATTTGTACCATTCAGCACCTTCAATAACTGCTGAAAGTAAACTAATCAAATGCCTACCTATGCTCCCTCCAGGCCTCTGATGTTGGACGACGGCTCTCCCAGCCCTCCCGCCTCCAAGTTCAGCCATAGTCACCCAATGGAGTCCATGCACGAACCTTTCTACATCCAGTCGGTGAGATACTATAGTTTACGTAATGTGTTTTACCATTGTGTTTCATAATCCCTACAGTCCAGTAAACATATTAAATTTAAAAAGTATCTTAATTTAGGCCTTTTCTGGAGTAGCAAAATGTAAATCTATCCTTACCAAAAATAAATCTCCTGTAGAATTATTAGTGCTCTGCAGCCTTTGTCAGCAATGTATTTTGCTGGGAGCTATAATAACTGAGGTACTGTGCTGCTGACCTTCCACATTCAGCACTAATAGTGCTGGCAGCCACATGCAGTAAACATCAACTTTGAAGTTATTGGCCGGCCTTTCTAAGTGCTTGGCCTTGTTGGGATTTTAAATGTATCAATCAGTTGATTTACCACGCACCATTCCTAATGCAGAAGATATCATTCAGCAGTTCAAGACATTTGTTTTAATCTGTTCTTCAAACATGGCATATCCACTACATCACAGTAAATATATTATCTGTTTGGACATAATTCTTTTCTAACTGCTGCCATCAGTCTAGCTGTTATGTTGTATTACCACTAGAGGGAAGCAGTGGTCAGTGACAGATTTGGAGGGCTATGGGTGTGCTGCATGAGTGTACAGAATTACAGGCTGTACAAACTAAAGCCTTGGGTTGAAGTGAATTCACTAGGACTCACTAATAATCACACGAGGGAAACATAGTGCAACATGAAGGCAGAGAGCATGCCACAGTAGCAGTGCATTTGAAGCCTGCCAGCAAAGTGCTGAACAGATAGAAAGGCTGTAATGCCTTCTTTTTTTCATATTTTCAGGCAGTTATTGAGTTATGTTTGTTAGTAACCCTCCTCCTCACACTCGGCATATTGAAAACAAACAGAATACAATTTCTACTTTCAGAGTATTTTCTCAGTGTATGCTAAACAATAATGACTTCCTATTTACTGATGGACCGTTACAACACTAAGGTCACATCATTGTGAAATAATGACATGATTATGTCATTACATAAACACCAATGATTATGTAACTGACAATGACTTGTGCATATATAAATGTAGGTTGTACATTTATACATAGTCTTTGTTTGTAGGGCATCAATATGAATAAATGTATGTATAAATGTAGCAGAGAGCAGTTACCAGTTTTATATATTTGGATGAACTTTCCTTTTATGTTTTATGTAATCACAATGACTTGCGCAATTTGAAAGATACTGTAGTGTGTCTGTTTTGATGGCTGCTTGGCCTGGGGATTGTTGCAACAACAACAGCTCAGCCTGAGGATTGTTGCAACTGTTCCCACCCTTCAGCCATGACAGAACATCATGTGCTAGCCAGACACACCAACCTTGACACATGCTAAACATGTCACTTAGAAGTCACCATAATAGTGATTCAAGCAAAGTAAGCTTTAAATAATTCATACAAAAGGTCAGGACCATATGTTGTCTGTCTTCCTGGTGAGGGGTGGGGTTGTCTAACTGAGCATGTCAGGATGAGTGTCATCACTCTAGCATGTTTCTGATTGAAGGAATAGGAGCTATTGCAACCATCCCACCCTCCCCCGCCAACAAGATGCTGGTTCATCAAAATTGATATTTTTCAATTAAAGATAGAGCTCGGGAGGGAAAAACATTACATAGCTTGCAGCTATCTCACCAGCTTGCTTTAACTGAAGTCTTTTGCTCTGGCTGTCTAGTTGCCTGTTTCTCTGTGAGAGTGCAGTTGTGAAATGGTGGGTTATAGTTCAGATATTACCAAGCCACAATACAGTTATCGCTGCATCTCTACAAAACCAGACTGCAGCAACTGCACAGTTAAAATGCAGTCACTGTGGTCTGACTTGGTTTCAAGCTCCATTTTGTAGTTACTTAAAGTGTTATGCGCTTTTATCACAGAAATACATTTATGTGTTATATGGTTTGTATTTGTTAAAATAAATGTCCTTCAGTTCTGCATTCAACAACCAATTAGGTATTTATCATGTTCTGTAGGGCGGCATAGGCCTGTTATAAATCTGTAATGTAACATTACAAAATATATAGTTACTCAAACTGAGCAACACAGTGGATCCAAAGAGGCAAATGTTAGCAAAAGAGTGTATTTACCAGAGAAGACGACAGCCAAGAGCAAGCATGATTCACATTTCTCTCCTCTTGCTCCTCAGCCATCCAGTGATACTGCTTCTTGCTCTACTAGTGGGCTGACAGGAGGACCAATTATCTCAGATGTTACTGACATGTCTCAGGCCAGTATGGCCCTTCAGATGCAGCCTGATGAGACCAGGTGAGTGATGCAATATAACATTTCTATTTCCTATGAAATAAGTAACTTACCATCAGCTCTGCATCTCTTGCAGCATCTAACAACCATTTTTCTGGGATATAGTGAAAGAGAACATGGATATTGAATCATAAAACGTATCACAGGCAATGTTAAGAAACAACAGGCTCAAAATGTCTCTCCTGAGAAAGTGTAGCAAGGCAGTTGGTGTCAATGCATCAAACTGATCACAGATTCTGATAAAACATGGCAAAGTGAACAGAACTGACTCTGTTTTAATGTTTTCTATCCACCTCATGCTTCTGGTAGTTAGCTTTTGACTTACAGTGTTTGACCTTTTCAACAGGGAGAAGTGCATGATGCTTATCAAAGAGGAGCCTGTGAGTCCAGGAGTTAGAGGAGGAGGGAAAGGAGGCAGTGTAGGGGGAGGAGAGGCTGTAGCGTTGACCTCCTCCTGTGAGGTGTGCTCCTCAGAACCTCCTGTCCTTCCCGTCGCAATGGTCCAGTCTGTCCTGGAGGGGAGGGGCTCTGTGGCTTCTATGGTGGAGCGGAGGAGTAAGAGACCTGCCCTGGACCGGTAGGTGCTCACATAGGATCACAGGTGGAGAAGCGCATAGAGAATGTAATGCACACACAAATGTTTGCACACACTCAAAACTGATGCAAGTGGTGAGCAAGCGGCCCTGTGCGTGTTTATATATCATGTATTAATGTATGTGTATGTGTGTTTGTGTGCTCACAGAGTGGAGGTTTCAGATGCAGTGGAGAATGTGGATATGAGCCTGGAGGAGCTGCAGCAGCTGCTGCTCAGGAGCCATCAGCAGAGTACTGTGGAAGCTGGGACCAGTGCTGTTATGGATGTCAGTAGATCTGTACCGTACATATACACATATAGAAACACACTTTAGCTTGTTTAAAGGAATACTTAACCTCCTTAATTATCAATTGTATATCTAAAACTCACCCTGTGTTACAATGAATTCATGAGGAAATCTTTATCCTTCTTGCATGCCTCCACAGTTAACGAAGAATCCAAAAACAGAAACATTTCTTGATGAACTGAAGTCATAGGGGTCCACGTTTAACAACAGCAGAACTATATCATAATTTAAGTTGACAAACTCTCTCACAATTCGTGCAGTATATTCCTCTCATTCAGTCTTTTATCCACTTGTTTGGTCAATACTTTCCAAACACAATCATTTTCATAAACACCTACCTGTTTAAAACTGAAAGGAAAGCCAGACTCCATTGACAAAAACAGTTTTATCTTGCTGAACACAGGAGCTGCTGGTCTAGCTCTGCTTCAGTCAGTTAGTTAGTTTGTGTTATTGTGTGGCTTTAGTGAATCTGACTTAATCATTTAAGACATCAAAATCACAAAATAACACAAACAAACTAGCTGATTGAGGCAGCGGTAGACCAGCAGCTCCTGTGTTCAGCAAGGTAAAATTACTGTTTTTGTCAATGGAGTCTGGCTCTGAAGAGAGCATAGATAAGTGTCACTTTCCATTCAGTTTTAAAGAGTAATGTTGAAGTAAGTATGCATGTGTTTTAGTATACCAGTGGATAAATGAGACTTGGATTATACTGCATGAATTGTGTGAGATTTCATAAATGCATGTTTTTAATATAGTTTTACTGTTGTTACAGTAAACACGGTCCCCTATGACTTCATTCATCATTTTTGAGGGTTCATTGTTTACCAGAAGCAACTAACTGCACATACAATCAGAAGTGTCCAGTATTTGAAATTTCAAACTGGTAGTGATATCTATAACTGCTTATACAGCACACAGCGGCCAATGAGTTGAACTGTTTCTTAATATGGACCTACATGAATAAATGTTTTTCTCACCCCTGTTTATCACTCTCTCCCTCTGTAGCCCTTCAGTTTAAGCCTGCCTCTGACTGAGTGGAACTTCACAGAGATGGAGTCCAACCTCAAATCAGTAAGTCATACAGTGTGAGAGCTGAATAACACTGAGGCAGAGCTTGGAGGAGGATGATTTCCTACTCAGGAATAGCTGCTTGCTCCTTTAATCATTCAACATGATGGCAGCTTCTCTGCTTAGCTGTTTTGTTATCATCCCAAGACCACCTTTGCTTATTGCATTGCTTTCTCTTTTTTAAATAAATTGGTTTTAAATCAGCTTTTACTGTTTTTCACCACAACAGGCTGTAAACACAACATTGACTTGACCTAAATGTTGATATGCTGAAAGTGTTTCAACAGTTGCTTATCTCTACATTGAGCAGATGCAGAGCAACATTATCATTCATCTGGAGTTTTGTTTGTGTCGTCCTGGTAAATGTATGGCAATTATGAACTCTCCCTTTAGCTCTGTTTTGGTCTCCACCGCTCCTGAGAAAAATCATTGTCTTAAGCCACTAATGTTCAACAGTTAGTCAGTAACTTTGTATCCTGTTTGTGCAGTGGGTTTTTAGAGCTTGTTTGTTGAAAGCAGCTGTCTGATGCATGTGAAATTAAAGCATTAACATTGAACTATAACAGAAAAGTCCCGGCCATACAACAAAACCAATCAGCTGAAAGATGTTAAAGGAGAGGTCCGGTATTTTGCACTTTGAGCCCCATTTCTGGGTTGTTTATGATGAAATAGAGTGGCTAAGACCAAAATAGTGACGACTGCTCATTTTCGGAGAATTTGGTTTTCCCCTGCCTGGCTTGACAGTGCTGCCTATGGCCATGTGTGAATCTGTCCTAAAACCACCCTAAACGTTCGTTTTCAAAGCCATGGAACTCACCCAGTGATCAGTGATGTTCGTTGATGTTCTGACATAAAAATCGTTGCAAACTGTGGTTTCCGTGATGATTTATTTGACATTTTGTCTACCCCATTGGTTTTCTATAGAAGCCTCATTGTCCATTGGAAGTAATCCGCCACCGGAAACGGAAAGGGGGTTGTTTACGACAAGTTTGTAGTCATTGTAGTCTTTTAGCTCAGCGAAAGTGCCGGCTCGACAGTGCTGTGTGCGCTCCTGGAGGAAGAACGAGAACAAATGAAAGTTTTGTCATAAGTTTAAATAACTGCACAATGGATTACTCGCTTGTAAACAACCTTCGCAGTATGATGCCTTTGAACACAACGCCAACCTTCTTCTTCTGCTTCTTCTCTGGGTCCCATTACATTGCAATGGTTTCCTGCCATTTGGCAACACCCACATAAAGGAGCATTTTCGCCATCAAGTGGGCTGGAGTGTATAACGCTTTAGGGTCAAACGAACGATCAAGTGGAAGTTTACACTAGGCTGTGAGGCAGCTGAAAAAATAGTTCCACAATCAAGATGAATAGTGAAAACACGAATGGAAACCACAGTTTGCTACAATTTTTATTTCAAAACATCAACGAACACCACTGACCACTCGGTGAGTTTCATGGCTTTGAAAACGAATGTTTAGAGTGGTTTTAGGACAGATTCACACACAGCCATAGGCAGCACTGTTAAGCCAGGCAGGGGAAAGCCAAATTCTCCAAAAATGAGCAATCATCACTATTTTTGTCATAGCCACTCTATTTCATCATAAACAACCAAGAAATGGGGCTCAAAGTGCAAAATACCAGACTTCTCCTTTAAAATGCTCTCTGGAGCTGAGGGGAACTGCAATATGGATAATAATTCTCTGTGGGTTTGTCACTACGAGTGACACCTGTCACATTATACTATGAGTAGTAACTGATAAATTGTTGAAATAAAGTCATTGACTATTGCAGCTTTAACTTTTAACCCCGCTCTTCCTCTTGCATAACCTATTGCACAACACCAGTGCTCAAAGTGGGCTGCCACTCACCAGTATGCTGTACCAACACTTCCACATTTTACTCATAGGTGCACAGAGACTTTTTCTTATGCACCAGCACTTCTCACATCTGCAAGTACTTTTCTCTTCCCTCTCCATATCAGCTTCTCTGGGCACTTCATAATGGCCCCATGTAAACTACATTACTTGTGAATTACAATAATGCTGGTCTGCCTCCAAAAGGGCAACACACAGATAACACATGCAGAGTCAGAGATGACACAACAGAACTTTAAAAGTCAAATCCTATGTCACTAAATGAGAGCTGGGAGCAGCAAGCTAACGTTAGTGGCACTCCTAGCAGGAAGGAGCCCGTTGATATAACATTAGCATCAGCAAAACCACTTGTGGCTGCCGCCACCGTTTGTGATGACAAGACCAGTTCTTTATAGTTATCCAGTTGGTGTCGTTCACTCGCTACTAACAAACCATCTCATATAATGACTCGTGTAACGACCCCCCCATCATCCGACACCACACCATGGCTGGTGAGTCTTCACCTTATCGGGTCATCCAGAGCAAAAAGAGCATTGCAAGAAAAACTTAGGTACTGCGATAGTGTGGAAGTTTTGCTGCCACCTTCACAGTATTATTCCAGTTATCATGGCAGCAATCAGTGTATCCTCAGTTCTAAAAGTGAAGTAAATAGAATTTCAACTTTAACCTTACAAAGTGATTCACAAGAAATGTGTACTTGCATATATTTGCGCCATGCTGGACAACCCTGCAATGTTTTGTCAGAGCCCTCTGCATCAGGACACCTGCTGTGCTAACACAGTGCTTTGTTTTTTGATGCAGTGTTAATGTTAGTCTGAACGCAGCCTTGGTCCGTCAACAAAGAGGCCTGTCTGATCTACTGATTGCATAGATACAATGTGGTTAATAATGTAAACAACACCAACACCAGTGACGTGTGGAAAAGTTCCACCAGGTGGAGGTTTCCTGCCAAACTAGAATAGTGATTCGACACACAGCTCATAACACAGTCTGAAGCCAAGGGTGAAAATCAATTTGTCCATTGTGATTCTTAGATTCAGGATCTGGTACAAACTTATGCTAAAACTTAAAACATACTTAATACAAACTGGGGCAATGCTGAAAAATTATATTCCCCACTCCCCTCTTTAAAGTTTGCCCACTGCTAAACCTCTCTGCTTGCAAAGTAATCAATTTTGTCATTGAAGTCCAATTTTCTGGCCACCTTGCATTGAATAGACAAGATGGTGAGGCTGTTCAATCTGTCTTGACACATTGTGGGACTTAAATAGTCTTTCATGCAGCTCACCTTGTGAAATGCTCTCTCACCACCAGCGACTGATGCAGGAAGAGTACAAACAGCCTCACAGAATACAGCATGTCTCTAAAAGTGCTTTGCATCTGCATTTTAAAGATTGCATTTAACAGCCGAAGTAGAGAGAAGTTAGGGGGGAAATTGGTGGCATGAAATGATGAATGATTTATTACCTGGTTTCAAATCATTGAAGGCTTATTTTCCTGATAAGTCATATGAAATTTGTCCTCATCACTGTGACCCTGAATGTCAAATCGCAGCTAGTTCCTTAAAAGATGTACAAATGAGTGATTGTGCTTTTGCAACATGTAACACTGTTGCATAACACAGTTGCTGAATTCTGGTGAACTCATCTTCAGCCATCTCACCATGATAATGTTGCCTTTGTTTTTGACCATTTGAGGTTTGACTGGTGCTCTTATACTATACTATAACTACGTCATCTCGTGGTGCCCTTTTCTCTTGCGACGGTTTAATGGCACCTGACTGGAGAATTAGCTCCACAAAGTGTTTATCATGATGAACTAACTTTTAATGTTTGCACACCAGTGGTGGATGGAAAATTGCATTCATTTTGATTTTTAGTCTAAAATTTGTGCTCAATTTGGATGGAAACTTGGCTTATATTTTGGCCTGTTGCAATGACTTGTTGTGACCAGGAGACTCCAGGAAATCACTGTGCCCAGCCGCTGGTCACCAAGAAATAGTTTTAACACAACTCCTCACAAAACCACAAACTGTCATTTTTACAAAGTATGTATTAAACAAGCAAAATAAGACATGGTAATGACTGAGCTTAATCAATCAATCATTTATTTATTTGTCAAATGAAATGATATAAGGTAAAATTCCACTGCAATATGATTCTGTCAGCTCCTTTAACTTGTGCATTGCACTTTAGTACTTTTTCGCCTCTTCTTACAGTGTACAGTAGGCTGCTGCCCTGTGATGGTCCATGTTTCCAGACTGGCTGCAGTGTGTGTTTATGTCATCCCGAAAGGTTCTTGTAATCCATGGTTTCTGGTTGTGGAATCATTTAAATGTAGTTTTGGGTTCAGTTGCTTCTGTTCTTTTATAAATTAAGTCCACCACAGACTCAGTAAGTTCATTGATGTTACCGGTGACGTTGACGGTGGTGTCGTAGAACGTGTTCTAGACTCTGACTGGTTTCATCTCTCACATCACTGGGGGCATGTGTCGTAGTTTGTTTACATATCTTGATCTCAACAAGGGGTGGGCGATATGGCCTTGAAATAATATCACGATATGTCAGGGTATTATTGCGATACGATATTATTGATGATATGAAAAATTACTAAAAAAAAATGTTTTTCATTAATAATTTAAGAACACATTATTGCAACAAGATAAGTAATATAGTTTTACATGTCAACCTAACATTTTGCCTTCAAATATTCAATAAAAACTAAACAAAAAGAATCTCTCATTTCATTAGTTTGTGATAAACAACAGTAACTCAGAGTGAGATTCAGATTCCGTATACAATATTAACAGTTCAACAAAATAAAATATACCACAAATTACACATTTAAACAGCTCCCAAATCCAAAAAATATACCCTGGGATCTTTATGTGTACTTATATATCTATATATATATATATAAATCAACAGGCAATTTCCTTCTCTTTCAGCAAAATCCTAAATGACTGAGTTGGGTTTTGGGTCATCACGCTGTAACCTGTGACAGGCTGTTATGCTACGATATCACACATTCACATATATGTACTTTTATGTTAAGTGGGCGTCATGTAGGTTTACATCACCAAAGGTATATGACAAAATCACTTGACGCCACCAACTCCTGTGTGTGCAAGGCAACAGAGGAGAGGGAGAGACGCTGTGCTGCTGCCAGAGGAGCTGCTGACTGAGTTCCCTCTGAGCAGTAACTCACTAAGAGAGTCTGAAAAGTTCGTGGCTGTTCATAAAAAATCAGGACACCCCAGCCTTACAACGCCACAGTTTATTCCCCACTACCGAAGGTGCTCCTCTTTTTGGAACCACGGCAGAGTCTGTAATAGTTTTGCATTCAGACATGCTTGTTGTTGCCCTGGGTAATAGTATGACGTCTAATTGTGAACAAGTCAAAATATTGCGAATATCACAATATGAATTATCGTGATCTATATGATATGGCACACCCCTCGTGGCCACTCCACTCTGCAGCCGCCTCTGAACAGTGCACAGCAGTGATCCAGAATTTCTATTCATCTTGTGGTGCAGGGCCAGTAGGCTTAACCCCTACCCTAACCTGTAACCCTAATTCATAGTGAGTCATTTAACGTATAATACAGTCATTAAAGGCCAGTAGGTCTGCTGTTATAAATGTTAATAAGTTACTAATAATGGGTAATAAAAATCAATTCTGCTGATATATATGCTTATAAAGTATTGAATTGCAAACCTTTCTCAGAAGGTCAGAGGTCAGGTGAACTGCAAAGCTACAATGACCACGTAAGTGTTCTGCTAGAGAAATAACACCAGCCTGAGAGATGTTTCATTAACTGGAAACCCCAAATTGCTCTCAGTATTGGCTTATTACTTCTTAACAGAACATTAGTAAACTAGGTTAGCCATAGGTACAGTCTTGATACTCTTGGCTTTTAAGATGCTGGTACTGACTTTCCAGTTTAATATATTGCTCTTGCCTTCTGTGGGGCCAGACCGCTGCAATGTAATGTACATTGCTTGATAGTTACAACTATGTCTCTGCCTGCTTTTTTATGACAGACTTTAAATTCCCCAAACTGTTCATTAATCTCCCATTCATACTTTTCTTCTTTTCTTCCACATACATCATTGAGCTCATTCTGGTGTCAAAGCTGAGATAATAGAAAATTATTTCTTTTATCTAACATCCGGAGTTGTAGTTATCCTTTTAACATGCAGATTTCTTGATTCTTTAGTGTAATATCTCATCGAAAAGACAGATCATTTTCCCTATGTCTCTGTTTGGTTTTGTTTGTGCAGCTGACAGTCAACACTACTCCCAGTAATTAGAGAGTGCTGCAGGTTTTTCCACTCCTAGCCACAGTCTCTGTGTGCCTTGTTTGCCCCGTGTTCTGGTAATTTATCATACGTTGTGTGCCATTCACCCACAGACCTCTGTAACCATCTGAAGAAACCTCTGCACCACTTAAAGATCTTCTATTCACTCATGAAGGAAAATCTGCAAAATCAAGTTCAAGAGGATACGCCTCTTTTTCATTACCCTGCCTTCTCCCTCATGCTCCCTGCTTGTGCCTCTCTCTCTCTTCATCCTCGGCTCCTCATTACTGCGGCTGTTTTTCTTCTACCTCGTCTTCCTCTCTGTAGCCTGACTGAGACACCAGGCACTGCAGAGCAGATATACCCAGCGAGACACTGTTAATGTAGTTTAACAGAAGCACTTTAATGCAAACGGATGTGGTGGTTCAAAAGAAAGGAGAAATGAAAGATTTGTGTTGATGTGCTTTTGGAAGATAACCATCAAGTCTTTGTGGGTTTGAATCATCTCTGGCCACACTGCCAGATGAACACAACCATGGCTCACCTCCTGTATTAGCAATAAAGTGGAGCAACAAGCGCTGTATCAGGCTCAGGGGTTGAACTTGATTTTGCTGGTGCGCATGTTGGTAGCACAGTTTCTGCACTAAGGAACAAGGCTTTTACCATCACATAACTTTTTAGTTACGCTGAATAAGTGTGTAATGAATATGTCGGATAATAGATATTCAACATTTGACAAAAGCACAAACCTTGCATCATTTGTTATGAAATTACAGAGTTGTTTACTCCCACCATTTTTCATATTTCCTAAACTGTCAATATATTTTGAATGTAGTACATGACATAGATAATCTGTGAAAACTTGCAAGAATCCACCGCACCTGGAGAAAAACAGTCAGAGCTAGTATGACTTTCCACCACATGTCAATCTCTGCTCGTGCACCTGCTGCACAGCCCCCCTCCCCCCACGCATACTCTCACTCAGTCAGTCTCAATATCTTTAGCTTGCTGCCTCAGATGAAGCTTGCAAACACAATGGTGGAGAAACAACCACCGGCAAATAAAAATCTGCCCAGCTTTCCTTTGCCAACAAATGCGCACATGGCAAAGACTAGTACAACAGCAGAATAACAATCGTTCACATTCCCTGTTATACGACGACTGATCTTGTCCTCTGCTTAGAGAGTTAGGAGCTCCCAGGCCCCATTGTTTTCTTAATTTGTGGACATTTTTGGTCACTGTTCCTCTTCACTGAGTTAGCTCCTAACTGCTATCAGCTCAATTTTTAAATCTCCAGTGGTGGGACGCATAACACATAGTCAAAACGTCACACCCATGCTGTCCAAGATCCCGTCCTGCCTGCTGTCCTTTTTATACACAGCATATTTCAGCTCTGTTATTACCACCGATGCTTGGTCTGTCCATTCCACGATTGTACCTTTTTTACAAAGTGGCAAGGTGGAAAGAGAGAGTCTTCTCGGCTCTGATTGTTTTTATTCAGGCACAGCAGATTCTTGCAAATGCCATTAGGAGCATTAGGAGGAGCCAGAGAAACATGATTTTTTGACAGGTTATCCGTCTCACTGCTGTCAGAATACAGTTTTAGCAAATATGACAAAATGCTATTTTTCTAAGTTAAATTCTGCAGCTTTAAGGTGCTAAATGTGTTTGTTTTCTTCCCTTCACAGTACATGTTCCAGAACCAGGAAGCAGAAGCTTTTCCAGCTACTGGATGTGAGGAACAGTGATCGATCTGTGCTGTGGACTGTCCTTTCTGAAGTGGAAGGTAACAACCCTGTGACATAATCTGTCAGTATTTCAGCAGCTGGAGGACATATCGATCATACAGCTCTAAGTCTTTAGGGGATGAGGCTGATGATATTTATCTATCATTTATTTTAATGGCAACAAATCAACACCAAAACCAACCATGTGTTAATCTGTCTTCAGCTATTTTCTGACTTCCCCAGGCTGTCTGTGGCACTCAGACCCAAAGCCATTGATTCCTACTGGAGACACGAATCTTTAAAAATAGGTCATGAATATATTTAAAGTACATGTTCAGTGACTGGGTAATAACAATTTCCCAAAACAGCATGGCACTGTGATTTTTAGTATTTGTTCCCAGGAGATAACAGTGCATTCACTGGGAACTATTTTGAGCTGTGAATTAATACATTTTTGGTGCTGTAATGAGTATTTCCAGCAGCAGGACAGTATATGTGGGACTGACTTAAAGAAATCTTTGTTCCTGTACTTACGGTGATAAAGGAACATGTCACTCAGTGCACCATTGTGGCACACTGATGTGTTTATAAGTTGGACAACAATAGAACATGCAGTTTGTTGATAATAAAAAAATATATGGAAGGAGCCTCTTGGTAGCTAAGTGGTTATAACCCACGCCACATTTCACCACAGTATCCTAGGTTCAATTCCAGCCTTGGGACCTTTGTTGCATGTTATACCGAACACTTTCTCTGCATTTCCATGCTATTCTGTCTTCTTTCAGTAAAGGTGAAAATACAAAGAAATAAAAACACAGAATATCAAAACAGGAACATCATAAAACACATTTTTATGAAACTGTACATACTACTCTCTAGCAAAGTATGTCATTGCCATGGTAACAAACATTATGCTTTTGAACAGTTCTGTAGACATATGGCAGGTGTATTCTTTTAATATTATTATAGGTCAAGAGCTTTAAAAGGTATTCTCATACATTGTTCAAGGGTATTTTAATGCAATACTTCAGTTTCCATACATTAGCAACACTTAAACTCCTTACAAGACAAGGACATTTCATGTAACATCTTGCCAACTGTGACTGGCGCTTATACAAGACTCTCCTCAGCCCAATCAATGTGAGCTTTGTCGTTAGCACTCTGTACCTTTTGACATCACCAAGCAAAGACACACACAGGTCAACTGTACGTTTTATATAATGTAAAGCATATATGACGTATTTTCCTGAATTCTTGTGACTTTCTTTGCACCAGTTTTGCCTTTTCTGCATTAGTTTATGTTAGAAATGTCTTCATTTTCATCAAAATAAAACACAAATGATTGATTGGGGCAAAGGCATGTCTTAACCGTGTAAGCTAATGACAAAACAAAATTCACTTATTAGTCATGAAACCAACAATTTGTGGCAATCATTTACACTATAAATATGGGATACAAGTATTGTATTAAGAAAGACATGACAAAATCCTGTCCTATCCTTAAAACTTAATGGTAACTAACTTCATCTACCTGTGTGGTATTAAATGAGTGAACTATAATCCCTCATTATTTTCATCCAAGAGCAGATAATTCTGTTGTCTGTTGTTATCCTCATCCCCATTCCTCCATGTGTAACTATGGAGGTGCTGTGCGTGCTCAAAGTCTGTCATCTCTTCTTGCTTCTCTCCTCAGGCCACAGAAGCTGCTGTTCCCCTCATTATTCCACTCTGCATGGGTTCGATCCCACAGCCCTGCCAGGCTGTTTCTTACGCGTGGCTTTATTTTCTTTCTTTCGTTCCATTCACATACCTACAAAGTGCGGCAATGAAGAAGTCTGCATGCTTATATTTCCTGGCCAGTTGACTGCCATTGGGCCTATCAGCCACCAGCTCTGTGGGCATGAGGAAATATATATATATATGTATATATATATATATATATATATATACATATAGATAGATAGATAGATAGATAGATAAACTCCAATATTACGCCAGCTGGATGCAGGCGGTGCATTCTTGGCTCCAGCACTTTAGTCTTTGTGTGAGAGGGAGTTCCTGCCTGTGAAAGTGACTTTTTCTTCCTCTATTGTATAAAGAATCTATTACAGATGTACAAATGAATATTTTTATTATTTTATCCTTCCTACAAAAATACTGTATTTGTATCCAAGAGAAAACTTAAAGCAAAAAAAAAAAAAAAATCACTGTGAAAAACCATATTGGGGGGACAATGTAGCATACTGTATATTACAAGTTATGTGAATTTTGTCAGTCTGTGTAAGGTTGTTGACGATGTAAAGGCTCCTCATATATTTCATGTATTTCAGATCATGATAAATGTGTTGAGATAGATCAGAGGTGAGTAAGCCTTCTATGATATGAAAGGTTCCTTTAGCAAAAATGTGGATTCAAGCCACTGTAAGATCCATTAAGAAACCTTTAGTTTCATCATGATAGGAGGTTTTACACGCTGAAGCACCCATCTAATATATCTTTGCACAGGCCTGATACGTAGCTGGAGACTTAGAGTTATTTCTCTTCTGTCCATTTAAATGTGAAGTTTCAAGGAAATATTAAAAGATAGACTTCTCATTTGACAAAACCATGAACACCACTGCATTTTTGCACAATCTGTATCACTAGTTATATAGAGTTATGACAACAGGTCATTTATTTTCTGTCTGTAGATGACCAACACTTTGTTGCTCTACACATGCATGTCTAAAAGAGATACTGGCCTCAATAACAGGGGTTTCAAAAATCCAAAAGCAAAATTTAGCCTTGGAGACACGGTGTCTCTGAATGTTACTACTGTTTTTAACTGGCAATACAGGCCACACATTAAGTTAAACCTTGAGTGTGCATAGAACATAGAAACCCTAATATAGAGTCAAGACAGTGGGATGTTACTTTTCATACTTTGTAAAAAAGTTAAAAAATTAAAAAGATAGAATACTTGTCCAGGAGCCAGTCTTTAAAAAGATTTCGTTATGGTTGACTGCGTTTCAGTAAATGCTTGGTGGGGTGGTTACTTGAGAATTTAATCTGTTATAGAACCATGAATACCTGCTTGAAGAAATGCATATTAATTTTCTGTATTACTAAAGATAATGAATAACCACTGGATGTAAAATATTAGTCCTCAGCACTGGTTGCAGGCAACAGTTTAATGGTTAACTTGATGCTGTAAATTCTTCTGGGAAACCTCCAGGAGATGAGTTGAATCGTGCAATACTGTACAGAACTGTGAGAACTCACAAAATTGCAATACATGGATGACCATAGGAATGTAGGAAACAGCAACTGTGAGTGGTGGACTGGAAGACACCATAGTAAGATGCACTGCAGAAGGATAATGTTAGCCTGTGAATCTTAAAGCCCTGCTAGCTCTTCATGCTGAGTCGGACCAAAGCTTCAGCCTGTAGTTTCAGCAGCCCAGTCGCCAGAAGAAAATGTTGACATTGTATATTTTTGCAAACCATGAGTATGTTACATTTGCACATTTCATACATATCATATCAACATTTCAAAAGTGATGTAGTATAGCAGCTGGTGGATGACGTGACACCTAGACAAGACACCTACCGAGCTGCAGACCACTGTTCGAGACCAACTGGTTGTAATTTAGTAAGCTGTCACTGTTTTTCCAGCGGCTTTTAGGCACAAAAAGCAAATACTTTTTCCGAGACATAGTTGCTTTTCCTGCCTGGATTGTGGCATGAAATGTAGTTGTTTTTTTTTACAGAGACACTGCTGGTTTTCCTGCAGGGATATTAGCACAATAACAACTGTCTTTTGCTGAGACATCACTGCTTTTTCTGTAGAGACAGAGAATGAAAAACAGTTGTTTCTTTACCGAGACATCGTCACTTTTCCTGCCCAGACAATGGCACAAAGTTGTTTTTGCTAAGACATTGCTGCTTTTTCCTGTGGGATAGTGACATGAAAAGTGATTGTTTGTTACCAAGACACCACCGTTTTCCTGCCAGGAAAAAAGCAGCTGTTTTTTTTTTGTTTTACAGACATAGCTGCTTTTACCGCAGGGATGGTGGCATAAAAAGTGGAGGTTATTGTTGAGAAGTCATTGTTTACCTGCTGTGATAGTTATTTGTTATTATGATGGTCCAGCAAGTGTTTTTAGACAGACAACACTGCTTCTTCTGCTGGGATAGAAGCACAAAAAGTAGATGGTTTTTGTTGAGATATCACTGATGTTTCTATTGGGATTGTACCCCCCAGAATGCTTATTTGAAGCCAAAACATGATCTTTTCCTAACCATTATTCCAGTGGTTTTTGTGCCTAAATGTAACCACATGTTTACCACAGCCTTGTTGAAATGAAAAATGTCAATTTATGTGCAACACAATAACACACACAATAACATGCAAATGCAATATATCTGTATGTAAAAAGCCAACATTTTTTTTAGTGACTGGGTTGGTTTCAGTTTTGAGGAGGCGCACAACAGCTACAACTTAGCCTGCTGCAAGTCTATGCGTGTAGCCCCACCGTAACCGTAACCCCTTATAGCTGAATCCCTTCTTGTACAAAATAGCTGGACACTTTGGGAATCTAAAAGCCCTGCTAGCTCTTTACACCCAGTCAATCCATGCAGATTTGAACTAGCTTAACAACCAGCCAACCAGCAACTGTATTTTCAGAACTACACTCTGCTGCTAGCAAGGCCAAAAATTGGTAGTGATTTGCATTAGCTTTTAGAAAAGGGCATGTACAGTGGTACTTGGTACAGTATGATTTAGCAAGTTAGAAAATAAATCCCTCGGACATAGACAGGATTGTAACTGATATATTACGGCACTGAGTCAGGAAAAAACGACAGCTGTTTTGATACTGGGTAGATTTACCGAGACATTAAATTGAATTTGCCAGATTAAAAAGCTAATGCAAACTGTCCCTTGCAGGTTAACATTTTTGTGTCAGACCCTTCTTCCCTGTGCAACAAGCTGTGGTGTATAACAAGTGAAATTGCACTAAAAATCACAGTTGTATGATATTTGAGAGTATACAGTACATTTTAGACATAGCATTTATTCTTGTTCCTCATGATAATATGAGTGTTGATGATTTTTTTTTTTTTTCAAGGAGTGATGAATACACACATTCATTTGCTGTTGTGTTCTTAATTTATTCTGTTTTCCATTTAATCATTTGCACTGGAAATGAATGGATGTGTGTTCAAATGACATTTATGCTTGTCAGGATTGCAGATAGATAAGGAAGTATTTTTGTTAACTGAGTGAAAAAGATCTCCGCTGTAACAAAGCCTGGCATCCCAAAAGCACTTCTGCACTACTTACAGACAACAACACATCAGCACATCAGTACATTAAGAGAAGACGGCAAAACCCTTTCTTGTTACAACAAAATACACCTGCTGTCAATAAAGTCACACGGGCAGTCTTAGAGCTTAGATGCTTTTGAAAGCGGGCCACAACCTGCTAAAAATGTGAAATGTTTTAAATGATTTTTTGCAAAGACTAAAGTGTATTGTTACAGCGAGTCAAAGAAACTGAACATGTATTCCACCTGTGTATGAAATATTTAAGTTGTTAAAACAAATAAAAGTGAAAGAAAGCAGACTAAAGACATTTTAATTACTCTCTTTGAATTAGTGTCGAATTGTTATTTGTTGTCTGTAAATGCATGTCCTTGTTTATGCAGTTAACTATGAAATGTCTAAAAGGCTTCAACAAATAGGCAGTGCTGTGTGCCAGGGCAATCGGGGCCAGGAATGGATTAAACAGTGTGCTGGTCTGTTTTGACATAAACTGCTAGCATTAGCCTGCCTGGCAGTGGTTAGTAGTAACATGGGTGTTGCAGAGGTGACGATGAATGAAAAATCATCACAACTACATTGGAAAGCTTGACAGGTGCAAGAACATTAACCATATTATAACAACTTTTGTGAAACGGCAGCCATTTTAAAGTACATCATAAAAACTCCAGTAACACTTGTAGTGTTAAGAATTTTATAGTGACATTAAAATATTTCAGCTTCTGGCCCTAATTAATGGATATATAGAAGATTTGATATGGTTATATTTCCTCATAAGTGGGAGCATGTAAATATTAAAAAGCAGTGGTCCAAAAATCAAGCCTTGTGGAACCTCTGATGAAATATTTGTTTGCAAATCAACAAATGTTGGGTGACTGATGGCAGCAGAGAAGCTCCTGTCCTTTAAAACCAGTTTAAAAAAGGGCCTGTTGTATCAACTGAAACCTAATCCACATGGACCAAGACATTTTTGTGAACACGGTTTTCCCTCCTTCGTTCTCAAAACATTTCTTTTCCTCATAAGCACAGATAAAGAAATATATCTCTGTTCAAATGAAAACGCAAAACACAACAGAGTTACTGTAAAGAGTAGCCAAACCAACAGGTGGTGATTTAACTGTAACCCTAAAGCCAAGCAAAGAAGAAGATGAAGAGGATCCAGCCTATCGAGAAGCCTGAAAATAGCTATTACAGAAAAGCTACCTGGAGCAGTGACCTCCATAGCACATTTTAATGCCCCTGTTCCTCAGTTTGGTGGAAGAGTAACTGTACATTTATGTGTAAACATGTAAAAAATCCTGTTCACAAGGTGAGAGGGAACACTGTTTTGGTCATCAATCAATCAATCAATTTTATTTATAAAGCCCAATATCACAAATCACAATTTGCCTCACAGGGCTTTACAGCATACGACATCCCTCTGTCCTTATGACCCTCGCAGCGGATAAGGAAAAACTCCCCCAAAAAACCCTTTAACGGGGAAAAAAACGGTAGAAACCTTAGGAAGAGCAACTGAGGAAGGATCTCTCTTCCAGGACGGACAGACGTGCAATAGATGTCTTACAGAACAGATCAGCATAATAAATTAACAGTAATCCGTATGACACAATGAGAGAGAGAGAGAGAGAGAGAGAGAGAGAGAGAGAGAGAGATGCAGGTAATGACAGTAGCTTACAACAAC